TCTCACAATCTTTTCACATTATTGAAATACTGCTTTATATTTATTATCATTATTTATTAGAAATTATAGCCCTCATATGATTCTTAAGATGAACCTATTATTATTTTACAAATAATGGCAAAGTTTATTTGCCTCTGATACCATAATAAAGAATTATTTCCTTTTTCCAACTTTCTGAATAAAAATTAATTTTTTGGAAACAAAAATTTTGGAAGAAAGCCAAAAAAGTAAAGAGGAAGCGATGTTAAAAGGCAACTATTATTATGAAAAAAATGAGGTGAAATAAGATTCACTAAACCAAGAATAAATGAAATTTTTTTTTAATTTTAGTTATAATACGATTTGGCATTTAGAAATAATATGCTTGTTTCAAGATTTTTGTTGGATTTTTTAAATAAAATCAATGACTGAAATTTATTTTATGAGAAACAACATCTTTTTAGTAATAACTAATTTAAATAGCATAGTCGATAAACAATTAATTTACCATTCTCATTCACAAATAACTAATGTATTGAAAGTTGAAATAAAATATAATTAGTATAAATTCCAAGATCATGAAATAAGACTCATACGACAGTTGCTAATTTATGTATATTAATATCTTCTGCTCTGAAATCTTTGAATTTATTTGTTAAATTAAATAATAATTGAAAGAAGGTTGGCAAAGAACTTTACAAATAGTAAAGTTAGAATACCTATTGCATTTACATATCGAAATAAGGAATTAGTTATACTAAAATACAATTTTTTAAATTAGATTAATCAGTAAATGAATAATTTAATAAAGATTTTAAATTATTAATATATAGCAGAATTAATAATAATAATAATTTAATGAAAAATTATATGTCATTGCGTGGAATGTTTCTATCTTTTAAAGGGTTCCCATTCTGTATAACAGACTTTTCCAAACTTAGACGATTTTATCATTGTACTAATCGATTCCTTGACAGAGCAAAAATAACTTATAATTATCTAAGCAATGATTTCAGAAAGATATCTTGTAAAAGGCTTTTTTAGAAATAACTATTGGTAAATATAAGATTCAAAATTTGAAGTTTAACCTGGCTATTCAATAAATGTTTAGAGTATTGTCTATTTGATAAAGTCGAAAATTACTTAACTTAATTAAATAATCTGTTAAATGCGGTAGCAACCTAAATAGTGTTTAATTTTTACCTAAATTAGAGGACAAATAGTTGTTTATTATCAACAATTAATCATGGAACAACGAAAGTAAAATATTTTCCTGGCTAGCCCTATATTAATTTTGGTTAATGATAGTGGGAAACTCAATATTCTTGTGGAAAATTCTTGAGATATTTTAAAGCTATATTCTCTAATTGTACTTGCATTTGTACAATTTGAAACGCTTTAGGCATCTTATTTTGAGATTTCATTATATCCAATTTAACTTAATCAGATTTACGAATCAGAAATGGTTAAGACTTTGATTTTTTTGACCTTTGACGACTATTCAAATTATGGCTTAGTCTTTATACATTGGCAACCTTACTTTAATTAAGAATAGGCTATATTAAGTCATTTTCAAACTCTCTCAAAAAAAATAGAATTCAAAATTTGAATGAAAGACTTCTATTTGTAAATTTACTCTTGGAAATTTTGAAATATTCCCAAATTTTACAAAAATTTCGACAACTTAACCTTAGCCTTGATATTTAGCGTATTAATTACTTTATATCAAATAGAGCTTGAATCATTAATTAATTGTAAGTTGATCAATAATAAAATAGTCCTCATAATATTCCAAATGGAGATATTTAGTCAATTCTGGTTATTGTTTATTAGAGATGGATGAACTTCTTGTGAGATTATAGAAAAATTAGAATATTCAAAAAGATCTAATTTCAGCAAAACTCTATAGGAGTTGCATATGGGACAAAATTATCATGTGAGTTCTTATATGGATGCTATAAAAATAACTAAACAATATTTTATATAGGTGCAGTAGGTTTTCTACTTAAAGGAAAATTATATTTTATCACAAATAGTTGAAATTGATTTAGATTATCTAAGCGAGCATGAAGAGTTGGCACCATTACAAAAAAATAAATAGCTTTGTAAAAAATCTGTTCATGCTAATTAATTAGAGCATGCATAAAATTTAGGGACATCAATTCTCGTATGATTTACAAATCTCATAAATTCCTCTTAATATGCAAATATTCCAAATGATGAACAAGTAACGATATTAATTTTTGCTTAAGAAAGCTCTTTGTTTGATATAATTATAAAACCATAAAGTGAAAGAATTGCAAGTAATATTATAATTGCTATGCACTTGAGGATAACCTTCATATAGGTGTTAAAAGGAGAATTAACCAAAGGTGTTACAATTCAGGATAGAAGAAAAAAAAGTGACAAAGTGTATTTAGTTATGAATATAAATATATACAAGCTCATCCATATCGGTATCAGGGGGCAAACACAGGAACAACTTAATAACTACTTGCTGTAATTGTGCTTATTTTTCAGTATGGTTGTATTATTAATGTGTGCAATCATTTTCTCATATCAATAACTTTTAATTCTATTTTATATTTAACTGATTGTAAAGTAATGTGGTAACACATTAAGCAAACTCTATATGTTGGTCTGACATCTCTAAAATGCACATGATTTCTAGTTTATTGCATTAGCAGTTTAAACATATTATGATATGCAGGCTAGATTGCTTTCAATTGGATCCACTATTGAAAACAAGTGTTAACTTTAGAAAGACTAAAATATTATTGCATAATACTAGCTTTTTGATTCAACATATCCTTAATGTTTGACTTTAGAAAATTAAAAAACAGAATTTAATAATAGTAACATTAGAGCAAGGATAATAATGAAGGAAATTATAACGGCACAAGTTGTGTAAGCTCTTTGATCATTGCATTTAATGCAAGAGGATGAAGAATACTACGAGTGGCTTCAAATAAGCAGGCAAACTTATGAATTAAACTGAAGCATCACTTATATCAATTGTAGTGATAGATTTAATCAAGCAGTGAAATATAAGCATTTCTACTAAG